GTGTGTGTGTGTGTGTGTGTGTGTGTGTGTGTGTGTGTGTGTGTGTGTGTGTGTAGGCTTTTAAATGCACATGAATGTAAGACACTGAACAGCAGTAAATAATAATTCTGCTTTGAAAATATTGCCTACTTTCAGATGAATTAAACTCTACAGTATTTCAGCCCAGACGTGTCCACAGTCAGTCAGAGACCATTTAAGACATCTCAGATGAAGAGTGGGAAAAAGATAGCAAACAACATTTCATCCAAATCTTCAAAAAACCTTTCAATTATCTACAGAGAGGAGAAGTTTGTTTTTTTCTTTCCCAGAGCTTTGGAATTTCTCATGGTTCACATTATGGAATGAACAGTGCAATAAAACAATGAAGAACTGCCCGTTCTTTCTTTGTTTTGTGTCTTTGTTTCCTCTTCTTTGCTTTGTCGTCTTCTTCTAGTGGTTAAATTGTAGGTAATGACATCATTATAGCAGACGCAGCAACTAGGTCTCTCTTTTTTTGAATCTTGTTTCTTAATGATGGGGCCACTTCTTCATGGTGCTACGTTTGCATCGTGTCCATCAAGCATATATGCCTTTACCTGATGGTATACAGTAGTTTTGTTCTGCATTGTTTTTCATCCCACTCAGTTCGAGTCTGATATGAGAAGCAATGTGGCAGAAAGAATTTATGATCTGAAGTTTCCCTCTGATGTTGGTATTAAGGCAAAGGTAAGGCAACAAAAACAGCTGCTGGTGCTCAAAGAGGAATCAGAGCTCAAGTCCACTTCTGATTTTTGGTCTGATCCTCAAAGGTTTGTGGTAACAGGGCTGTGGCCCTGACAATACGCACACACACACGGTCCAATGTCAGTAAGAAGACATGAGAAGACTATTGAAATCAACTTGTATTGCTCTTTGGTGAGGTTTCAGAAGGTTACTCAGCTGCAGGTAGTGCTGCTGGCTTCAGCTGAGTGGTTGAGGTGCTCAAAACGGCGGGTCTGTAGAGGTTCAGCATTGGGTCTCCGTTGGCCTGCGTATGTGTGAAGAAGGTCGGGGCTCAGTGGCTTTGAAAATGTGTCCCCTTCATGTTCATATGACAACACGGGAGATCTGAGGCTTCTGAACGTTCTGCGAGGTGATTGGTTGGGTTTTCCTACACGGAGTCGCTGTCATGTTCCATTGGCTCATCAGGGAGGCTGGAGGGAAGTGTGAAAAGCACATGTGAGCAGAGACCTGGGAGAGTTTGCATCGATATAAAGGATGGAAGTGGGATTTTTGACTGTGTGTGTTTGTATCCATGCACTGTACCTCTTGCTTGAAAGAACTCCAACAGAGAGCGAGGCCAAAGCCTTGACAGCATCCGTTTCCTCACAGTCTCTGCTCTGAGCAGCCATGTATGACAGACCCACTGATCCACTGTAGGCCTTCAAACTCTGCCAGTACTGACCTGCAAGCACACAAGACGTAACAAAAATGTCAAGCGAATTTCAACGTTGTAGTTTTGACATCATATCCACTGGTTAAGTGTTGATTACAACTGAAATAAAAATGCAGAGAAGAGGATGAAACATAAGCGCTGCTCACTTTGTATCTGTATGACAGTTTGTAGGGAGCGGACTGCGTTAGCGTTGGGCTTCTGGAGGAGGACGTCTTCCGGCAGCGGTTCCTACAGGACAAACACACAACAAAACACCATCTTTAGAACCAAAATGGCTACGACAGTATCATTTAATTTCTACAAATTGAAAAGACATTATTTATTTTTCATTTGAAGCTTACACATGCACAAACTGGTTAAACAGAGAATGTTTCATTAGCCTGCCTGTTTTGCAAGACCTTTAAAAATAGTCTTAACATCCTGACAATAAACCAGAATTCAGCTGACCCTGGAAAGAATTTCAGCACTGATCATCTGCTGGTAAAGTAGGACTGTGATCAATTCTGTCAAAACTTGGCACTATGTTTATTGGAATGGAAGCACCACTTCAGTGAGCACATTGTGGTAGCTGATCCATGATGTGACGAGTGACACTTGTACAAAATGAAAGAATAACGAACTCCGAGATACACTGTCCCTACCAAGTCCCTCTAACTGTAGTAAAAATGGGACACTGTGCTCCAGCTAACTGTAAAAACAAACAAACAAACAAACAAACAAACAAACAAACAAACAAACAAACAAACAAACACTAGTAAAGAACTCCATTAGTCATACCTGTATGCCCAAGAGTGAACTGACACAGGCTTCAGATGCGTCACAGATTGCTGTGAGGTCGTGACCTCCCTCAAGGGCCAAAACCAGACGGCCTCCTGCTAGAGACATCAGCTGACGGGTCAGGAAACCAAAACCTGCGGCGAACACAAACACGCACACAGAGTTGTTAACATTAAATGACAACAAAGCTTGGCAGGTGAACTGTTGCAATTTCCAATAGTCTCCAAAAACAAATGCATATTTTCATCCGTAGATCCTCCCACAGCAACATACCAATTACTAATTACTGTAATTATGGTAATATCAGCAGTGAAGCAAGACACAGTAGAAGGAACTTGAATCCTGCTCTTTTGTTCATGCTAAACATGAGCTTCAAGAAACTCTAATATCTTGAGACACTCAGGGTCTTAACAGAAAGTTTCACTGTCTCCTGCTACAAATAAGACAAAAGTTAAGGCCAAGTGCAGTCTGCGGTGGGAAAGTGTTCTTACATTTGGCCGAGACCTTGTAGCCTCCTAGAGGAGCGGGGTTTCCCTCGGCGGCGTCAAACCCGGCTGACACCAGAACTACATCTGGAGAGAACTCCTGAGCAATCGGCATCACCACAGACCTGTATGAACACACAGAGATCATAATGACTTCAAGGGACTGGGAAGGGATGGTTGTAGGGGACTCTTTCCAATACAGTCTTCAAAGGAGTGTGTAATTTTACTCAAATATCTTGTGTGTTTTGTACTTTTGTGTCATTTTCCTGGCTGTAACATGCACCTACAGTTGTTAGAAACACATTGCTGTCGAGGAATAGGACAATAAATTCTGATGTGCACATTTGAGCCTTAATTATAAAGTTCAACAGGAAACTGAGTCACTGATTGATTTGAAAAATCAACACCGTTGACAAAATTAACACAAAATGAACGTGAAAAACAAAACAAAAAAACCGATATATTGACATCACCACTGAAACATCGTGGGGGAAGTTAAGTTGCACTAACAGGACACAAAGTGATGAAAAGCAAAGAAGAACCAGCTGTAGTCTCCATCTCTGTTGATTCAATGTTTAAATAAACTGCTGACAGAAGCACTTCGGTGTGGATTCATTTCATTAGGGTGCTTATGAAGACCGGCCCTAGCATTCAGTGAAATATAGCCGTTTTCAAACACAACTGGGCATGTCCAAACTGGACACAAGACAAATATTTACCATTAAATCTAAAGAAGTCATTAACATGACAAGTGAAACGACGTACTGGCTGATCCCAGACTCAGCAGCCCGAGCACAGCTGACAAAGAACTATTGTTTCCTCTGTGGGAGAAGCTGCAGAGCTTGAGGAACACAAGCCAGCTCAACAAAGTCATATTGTTGTTTTGTCAGCTCTTATACTCGCTAACTTCTTTGTGGATTTCCAATAGATGAAATTGTCCTTAATGCTCTTGTTGTTAGGGAAGAAAGTAGTACTGTCCGGAGACGGGGAGAAGCTCGACTCGATGCTGTCGGCGAGAAGTTCAAAGCTGCAGCGTGCGAGTCTGTTTCCCATTAGAGGCTTGTCACTCTCCTCACGTCATTGACAACACAGGGAAAAAGAGGAAAAACAGTCCATCTGGGATCCATTTACCTTCATTATTCTGCCTGGGGACTTTGGAGACCTCCCCTCCTTCCCCCTTCAAGCACACGCACACACAAGACACAGAGGCGCACATATCCAAACGCATACTGCTGACATGACTGCGTGCAGATGGACAACATGAGCTCATAGAGAGAAATAAGGTCGCCGAGATAAAACAAACACATTCCAAAATGAGCGTGCACGTGCAAACGCACATCAGCGGTGCTTTGATTCGTCCAAAAATTGTAATTCATAAAGCAGGCCTCAGCTTTATCACACCAATGCAGATATGAATCAAAAGCGTGCGCACACTCCTCACTCATCCCCACACGCCTGACCGCAAAACCCAACCCCACCTCCCCTGTAGAGCCATTAAAGTTGCCACGGTCCCCCTAGAGAGAGAGACTGCAGACAAACTAATGGAAAGATGGAAGACAGGAGGGGAGGGCAGGATTGGGGAGAGGAGGGGACGGTTATTAAAGATCAATCAAGGGAGGACAGGAAGAGGGCGAGAATGTGTGCTGGGTGGTGGTGGGTGAGGGTTGGGGTGATGGAAAACTTAAGGGTGGGGAGGGTGAGTGAGGGATAAGGTGAAAATACAACAAAGCTCCCCCTCTGCAGCTAAGCGCTTGCAAACTTAACTCATAAAATGGATTCTATTAAACAGCGCCGGCACTTTGTGTTTTTCCACAAACCCTTCGATGCTTTCAAAAAAAACTTTATTAATTACAAAGCGCATTCATAGCGCTTTAAATGCTGGGTGGCTGAGTGGTGAGGGAGTTGGGGTTTTTAAAAAGTTTTTCAGGCAAAGCACCTCCCCATTAGGGCTTAAACAGGGATTATGTTGACCTACAGGCTAATCATAATAGAATTATAAACATTTGCTTTCAAAATAGCTAAAAAAATACTTCCAGCTAATCCTCATCAGGAAATCCAGCACAGTTATTTATTTATTCTGAACACTGTCAGAAAAATGAGCTCACGGCTACATTTAAGACATGCAGGCTGATTCGATTAGCCTGACGTTCTAAATAAAGATCTACTTTTTTCACAACAAGAATAATTCAAATATGTAGTAAATCTACAGTGGTGTTGAATGGGTGGGTCTCAAAATCGGTGCACCATACTTCACTGCACGTGGAAGAAACGTGAGTTTCTGAAGTTTTGCAACTTATATACGAAAAGCTCACATATTAGCATCAGTATTATTTTGAATAACTGAGAAGGCAATTATCTGAGAAAGCTTTGATGTCGTGATCTTTTGTCCTCATGGGGCTCCAGGCAGAGTGAAAAACAGAAAATTACTTAGAAGTTCTATTAGGTCCAGATCTGTGTTATGTACTAAAGATGATACTCTGAAGCAATTTCACTGTGTCCACTGCAGATGAGTCAGCGCACTCCTCTCAAGTAAGATCTGATTACTTTAGAGACCCTTTCAACTTAATTTTGTTAGTGATCATATTTTTTTAAAGAACTAAGTCTGTTTTAAATCGGAAAAAAAGAGATCAGTATTTTATCATGTTACTCTAGAAGGTACAAACATCCCAGATAATCAAAAGCGTCCTGAATGTTAGGGACGGTATTAAAGCACTGAAGTCAAGGGACCAAACCTCAATACAAATGATCAGAAAATAGATCCACCGGCTTTAAAGGGAACAAAATTTCAAACTGAACTTACAGTAATGTTTCTCTTCACACTCGACACAGAAGTATTTTTGTCACCATATGCCCTTGGAATATAAGACATGCTCTGACTATCAATGTACGGATAAACCCAAAAATCCAAATAAAACTAAGAGCCAGTCCTAAAACAAGCACTTTTAGAAATGCTCTAGAACTAAAGGAGCACTGCATAAATAAAACTCACACAGAGTGAGCTTGTGTATTATGGGGAGTAAACAGTCAGAACTAAATATTTTGGCAGATCACTGTTGACGGCGCACGGCTATTTTGTCATTTCCTGAGTTTCCGGATTATGACCGATCCACCTGATACGTACTTGAATATGTTTGATCTTACGTGTTTGGGTTTAAACATTTGTGGACATGCATATATGCAGAGTTCCCCCACTTATGTCTTTGAGCTCACCACTGTGCCTCTTTTCCAGTAACCACATGGTTGCCAGTGTTTCCTTGGGGCTTGGAAGCACCAGACAACCAAAGAGCCCACAAGACTGAAACTTTATTGGTGCTAAACTCCCACCGATGACAATTATCCAACCCACCAGCAGGAAGTAACGGTTTGCAATCTGTCAAACACAAGACCTGGAGACCATTTACTGTAAACCATCTGAAGTTATTGGAAACAGGGAGGGCTAGACACATGCTCTCCAAATGACAAGGATTATTAATTACGCAAGAAGTACGTCAGAGGTAGCGGGGAGCTGAGTCTCTGATCGACTTCAGTGTTTCAGTTGTGGCTCAGTTTAGAGGAAATGGGAGAAATCTACTGATTACACTTGTGCTAAATGACACTGTCCTTATCAATCAAAACTACTGTCGTACAAGAAAAGAGAAAATACCTATAAATGTTCATTCTTTCTACACTTTGATATATTTCCAGTCTCCATGAAAAAGCTAACGAATAAAGAACTCTGTGTAATAAAGCATGGCGAACGCAGATATTTCCATGGATGGCGCAAGAGGCCAGTGGAAAGTAATGATGTGAATCATGTATCTTATTCAACAAGGCAACCTTCATTCAACCCAACTGAATATTTAAGAGAAATATCTCAGGGAGGTTTCCATCACTATATTTTAATTTGTCACCCATTTAGCTGCACTGTGCTGTAAACGCAGCCAGAGTTGGCTCTACCTGAATGCAGCGAGGTATTCAGCATCTCCCATGGGTGGGTCCAGTCCTCCTGTCCACGCCACATTCACATTAAAGCCCTCACCAGCTCCAGATCCAACCTAAACGCCAAATAACAAAGACAATTGATGTCATTCTTCTCTGATAGCATTACTCTCTCAAAAGGGAAGCAAACAGTCCTGGATGTCACCTACCTCAGCGGGAGACCCACTGCCGGGGAAGAAGTTTCCGTCGTCATAACGATGAAGTGAGATGTAGAGAACACTGGGGTCGTTGTAAAACACTTCCTCCGTGCCATTACCATGGTGAACGTCCTAGCCATGGCGATGAGGAGAGATTAGTTTAGCACAATAGTTGCCACAGTCATGTTCTAAGGGGATGGGTATCACACAGTAAAATGAGGCCACAGTTAACAGGAAGTCTTACCCAGTCGACAATGAGGATCTTGCTGACGCTGAGCTTGTGTTGGAGCTGTTTAGCAGCTATAGCTACAGAATTGAAGTAACAGAAACCCCTGAAAGACAGAGACAGAGCCAATGTTTAAAGACAAAGAATATAAAGACTTTAATCTTTAACTGTCAAAAAAGTAAAGGTAATTGGTTAATGAAAAGACCTGTGTGATTTTGACTTTTGCCATTTCCTTATTCTTGGTTTCAGAGACATGCAAGGTGCAAGGTTAACAGGGTAAAGAGTCCTGCAAAAGTTATTGATGCACAAATATTGCTTAAAAAATTTAATTAAAAAACGAAAAGAACATCATGTAAACAAACCCCCACCACAAAAATATTATATTCTGTCAGTTTTTTTTCTCTTTCACAATCATCCACAGAGGACGTGCTGACAGCGCAGTAAGAACAGGAAAACCAACTATGACTCACACACAAACACACACTTACATGGGATTGGAGGGGTCTGCATGATGCCCTGGTGGTCTGACAACAGCAAAGCCATTCTGCAAAGAAGAGATAGATGCCACTAATTAGCATTGTGACATGGTAAACTTTAACAGAGCTGTTCAGAACCTACGATCTTTGGCACACACGACTAAAGACTCACGCGTGCCCAAAAAGGTACAATGCTACTGTCAAAAACCCTGCTAGGCTCAAGCTAACTGACAGAGGTCACGTAAGGAAGGATGGTTTACATCAGTGCTCTTTGCATTTATAGGAGTGAAGTAGCTTTCTGATCTCTTAATAGATCATTTTTAATCCCAACAAATGTTATAATTTTGGCAGTTTGTACTATTTAAGTGTAACATCTAGCTTTGTTAGCTAGCTCTACTATACCAGTGTAATACACTGATGCGGTATATTAGAACATAAGCACAGGTGCAGGCATAAGAACAACATTATTATATTAATACTAATTATGTGTGTAAAGCTCATGCATAATATGCACTGAATGTAGCATGCACAGTTTATGGAGCTGAACGCCAGGATGCTGCTTTACTGTTTTTAACACTGTACTTGACCTGCTCGTTTCACACATTTGTTTCATGCTCGTTTGGTTGGGTTTTTAACAAAAAACCTTTTAGGTCAACCTGCTATTTCATCTTTTTTTATTAAACCAATCATGTTTTTACAACAAAAAAAGTCTTTCATCCCAAATTTTGAGTGCAACGAGGAAAAGAAAGACAATTAAGGCCATAATATAACAGAAAAGCCCTTTTTTGAAACCCATCACCTTTGAAGTGGCTTCTGCTAAGAAACGCTTCTCTGCTCAGTTCTAGTCTACTAGTTTACTCGTAGAAACAAAGAACTGCCATGGTGGATATAACCTTCTCAAAAACAAGTTAGAGTTTCTCTAATTTGTTTTGGCCCACAGCTCAGAGCCTGAGGAGCATTAAATAAGTCATAAATACACTTACTGTACTACATGTTTTTAAAATACTGTTTCTCAGAAGGTGCTGTGCAGTTTTTGGTGAAGCAGTTGTTCAACTTACTGACATCATGACAGCTACACATTACATCATATTATAGCTGCTTAGAAACGTCAACTTTATTGATCGTTACCACCGACAGCTAACGTTGAATGCCAACTTTAAACTCGGTCCATTCAGTAGCTCAGTGGTTCCAAATAAAGTGCTTTACTGCAATTGCCGCAGGTGACTACATGTCGGAAACTAGTAGTTTCCGACATGTAGTTTTGCAAACAAAACTACATGTCTGAAACTAGCCTGTCCATCTGTGGTCTGTCTCTTTCACACAGCGTTAGATGACTGCAGAGTTTTGAGTCTCACCTTTAGTTCTCCTTTGGCCACTCTGAACGCCAGCTCCACGACACTTCCTGCTGCCAGACGTGACGCCGTGGAGGTGTGCGACTCATTCCAAATGGTGTCATTATCAACCTGCCGATCCAAAATTACAAATGATCAGTATGCATTGAAGGAAGCATTAAAAACTACACAGTTTATGTCGCTGCTGCTGAAATAATCTCATTTTTTAAACCAGAATCTCCTGCACTAATGTGACTCGAGAGTAAACATGTCACTTTTGTCTCCCATGTTAACACAGATCTATATTTACAAGTCATTTTTCTTTCCATTGGCTTTTTTCTCTCTCCTCTGTTTGTTCGCAACCTGGCATAACTGCATTTGGCTCAGACGATGAAATCTAAGGCATTCCTTTCATCCCGGGTCCTGGACATGTTGTTCTCATTAGTCTGAGTTGTCATGGTTCGACTTGGACTGTCAGGCAAATGTTAGCGCAGGGCTGAGCCAGGTCTCTTTTCCACTCTAATATATTCTCTTTATTTCTGTCTGCTTTGTAATATTCGTGTCTTTGCTGCTTTTCTTTGAAACAGTGTTGACTTTCATTATTTCAGCGATTGTGGCATTTTCTACGGCATTCATTAAGTCTTGGTGTGTATTGTTGGTTTTTCTTACCCCTACACCGCCGCATGGTAACATCACAAACATCCTTTGAGACAGGATCCCTGAAAATCAAAGAGAAATATACATTTTTATTGTGCATTCATACATTTATTAGAAGTAATTGTTTTGTTTTTTAAGCTTGTATAATCCTTTTATGTCATGAGGAATCAGGCATATTGTGATTAAGCTATCATAATGCCATAAATGTCATTTTTGTGTATAAGACAGTATACACAAATACACGCTTCCAAAACACATTTATTTCATATAAATATTTAAAGAGAAGTGCAGAGTGTTTGTCTCCCCCATCTGGCAGTGAGAATAACTGCAGAACTGAAAACTTGTTTTTGATGATAAACTGTTTTTGTCCCTGCCATTGGATTTTTAACAGTTTAATCCCTCAAAAGACTTATACATGCCTGATCTTCATTTAATATTCTTAATTTCTTTAAAATCTTTCCACCATTTTTCCACTGCTGATGCCTCCAAGCAGCTCCTAACAAACTCTGTCTTCACTGCTATTGTTGATCATCTCTCTTCAGCTCTGTCAAACCAGCCTTTACTGGTTTGAATAAAATTAATCCATTTTGTCATCACTCGATTTAAAACCCAAGTACGCTGCCAAATACAGAGAGATCTGACTGGTTCTGATAGGGATAATCAGCACTGCATGAACTCATTTGGCAGGGATTGAATTCAAAGGATGTTTTGTGGATAAAAGTATAATTTCTTTCACTCTAAAACCCTTGAAATTACTCTTTGATGATTCTAAACACAATCAATATGAGGTGAAGCGTACCAGCCAGTTTGCGGTTATCCAGTTTGAGCCTATTGAGCGGGTTGGTGCCATATAGCAACACGTGACGCTCCGTGTGGACGGACTGCAGCTCCTCCAGAGTGGCTTTACGGCCGCGGATACTCTGCAAGACGAGCATAAGATGCATAAAATGATGAGACATTCGAAATCAAAGTAATTAATATCTTATTAATAACAATAATGATACCTGACCGTCCTGTGTCATACCTCGCACTGTCCCTTCAGGCCTCTCTCCTGTAGTCGGGACCAGATGCTCTGTATCCTCCCAGCATGCTCTGGGTGACTGCTGTTATCTCCACAGGTACACTGGTGTTTCAGCATTTGAGAGTCATAGACGAGGCCTGTGTACAAAAAAAAGGATTTATAACAGCATGTTAGTCGAGATGGCCATTTTGATAAGAACTGCCACCAGTAATCACACACCCGCTGTTGCAGATTAACCACTATTAACTGAGCATGCTCCTCACTTGTGATTTTTGTCAACATATCAATATAAAGATACATTTAATAATACACAACTAACTCTCGTGAGTAGACCAGCTATTACAGCACATAATTTGTGAAACCATCTGGAAAAACCCTGTCAACTGTTTGATAGATCTGACATGTTATACAGCCCCAGCCTAAAAATAATAAAAATTTGTACACAGAAGGTGCGATATGCATTAGAACACTGTGACTCACCAGTGGTGAAGCGTGGCTTGCTGCTGGTGTCTTGTGCAGGAAGATTGAGGGTTTTCTCTGGCAGAGTGAGAGAGGTGGAGGCTGGGGAAGACTGCGTACGGAACACGGGGCGATGGACGCCCAAGCCACCAACAGCCCCGCCGCCTCCACGCAACACAGGTACTGCCAGGGTCTCCATTTGTCGGTGGAGCTGCTGCAGCTGCTTCTGCTGTTCCCATAGCAACGACTAGTGGGAGAAATTGATAGGGAACATAGATAAATCAGATATACAGTCTACAGTTATCAATAATAAAAGAATAAAAAGGAGAAAAAGTTAAATTACACAAAGAAAAATGTTCAGTTGCTACTAATATGAAATATGCAGATGCCAGTGTTAGGCTGCCATCTACAGGACTGGATGATGAAGAAAAAATTTCCACAGTTGTGTTTTATCCAACTACCTGTTTGTGTTTGTACAAGAGTGTGTGTGTGTTTGAAGGTAGTCTATGTTTCCAAACCTGATTAAGTATGAGGGCATGCTGCAGGTTCATCTGCTCCTCTTGTGTCTTGGATGCTGATGGCTCCACTTCCCTCAGCGACTCTGACCGCCATCTGCTGTGATAGGCTGGCTCCGTGGGTGACGTCCCGCCACCGTCCTCTGAGTCCATATCCTCAGAAGGTATCTGATGCAATCTGGGCTTCTCACTGGACTTGGACATCAGCTGTACATGGACATACACACGTTAAAGATGGATTTAAAAGTAAAAAATGTTTGTTAATCTGTGTTCAGTTCACTTTAATCCATTAAAAAGAGAAAAAAAAAGAAAAAAAAAAAAAGAACGGCTCAGAATGGCTGATGTCGGAGGTAAAGTGAATTTAACGAGTGAAGGGCAATGAGCTGGGACATGAGGCTTAATAAAACAATCTCAAGAAAGGCTCAGCCTCCCCCACACCCCCCTTAATGACAAACCTGGGTGTACCTTTAATCATGTTTAAAAGGTTACAGGCAGCCAGTTTTATCAGTCTTGATGCAAATGTGGCAAAGAGGAGATCATGTATGATCTCAAACAGCACTGAAAGGTGCACATGTATTCCTACCTTGCCCAGGTGTGTCTGCTGTTTGAGCCTCTCCAGTAGTTGTGTGTTGTGCTGTTGTTGTAGGAGATGTGTGTGAAGCGCGTGGGGACTCTGAGGAAGGGGTTCTGAGCGTGCTCTGCTCAGGGGCTTGTGTGATTGAGCACCTCCAGCAGACAGGTGGTCCAACGGCTGCGCAAACTGAAGCGGAACGGAGTCTAGGCCTTGAACTGCCAAGAGACAGGGTGATAAAGAGGAAATCAAATCAAATCAAATCAAATCACTTTTATTGTCACATCACATGTGCAGGTACATTGGTACAGTACATGTGAGTGAAATTCTTGTGTGCGAGCTTCACAAGCAACAGAGTTGTGCAAAATACAATAATGTAAACAAGCAAAATACAAGAATGGCTACATCTGAAACTAATAAATATATGTACAATTCACTTGCGTGAAAGCAAAGACATACGTTCAAACAAAATGAAAAGAAAGAAAAGTTACTGAAATGAAGCACACAAAAAAGGTGAGAGATTAAAAATAGTCTGAAAGTGGTAGCCGCTGAGTTTACTCGTCTGAAAGTCAACAAAAGTGCATTCCCAATGTAACCACCAGGTGGTGCTGTAACATTTCATTCACTAAAACTAAGAACAGGGTTACACAACTGTCAATACCATGGATGTGCATATTTTGCAGCGTTGTGCTTCTGTTTTAATGCTGATGAAGTTTTGCAAATAAATCACACATAACATTAAAATGAAAACTTTTCAACTGTGAACTGCAGAGCTTTTGCCTCAACACTGTGGATGAGTGCAGAGTCTCACCGGTGAGTAGCGGAGTGCGGACCAGTCCAGATGGCTCCAGGATGATGACAGGTAGGTGTGGGTTCATCTGCCCTGCCTGATCTTCTCTGCTGAGGGGGAGGAACACTGAAGAGCCGCCGGCAGTGACCACGGGTACTCGGCTGACCTTCAGCGAGGACAGCTCTCCTTCAGTCTGCACACACAGTTGAAAATAACTTTGTAGTCACAGCAAACACACTAGTTTACGTTCAACACGGATGAATTCACAGGACAACAAATAACAACACACATTTCGTTGTGACAAACATTTCTGTGTTGATCAGTTCTGATGACACTGATGTAAAGCGGAAGTGACATAACCGCCTAAAGTGTCTTTTAATTTCATCATGCTGTAATGTCAGAAAGCCAGAGTTTCAGGTCATAGTGAAACAGCAACCCCTGAGAATCAAGCTTCCTTTAATTGACTTACTTCCTTTGTAAAACAGGATATGTGAAACAGAAATGATTTCATTCACTTCAGAGAGATTTTGAAGTCACTGTGATGTGACTTAGGCTAATTGTAACACTACAGACTGCACTGCACAGTCATCTCAACACTCAGATTTGAGTCTAGATAATTTATTATAACACAAATTTAATAGTGCAAACCTCCACCAAATCAGCTCACTCTCTGCGCAGCCTTTACTTTCAAGGACACAGTGAAGTATTTTGTATATATCCGTTTTGTTTTCTTTGTTCTTTTTACATTCAGAAGTTTGTATTTGTTCTTATGGCACTCCAAAGTACAGGCTTTTGTTATTTGCCTTGCTGAAACCCTTTTTAATATACGGTTTATAATATATTGGGATATAGTAAATATATAGAATTCATTTTACTGTTAAGTTTTTTTTTTATGTTTAGCAATAAATAGCAAAGGGAAAAAAACCTTATTCAGAAACAGTGTACGTTAATTTTTTTACCTTAATGTACATAACAAAGTCATAATAATTAATATGATATTTAGAATGCTTATATAACATTCCCTGTATGCCTGTATGTTGTCAATACAAACTGGTAACTGGAGTGGTTCTCATGTAGTGCTTTTCTACTCCTACCTACAACATGACTTAGTCACCCCTTCACATCCAATCATAAAACCACTTTTTTCCCCCGATGCTTTCTAGCTAACAGTCACACACATCGACACTCTGATGGATGCATCAGAGAGCAACATGTGGTTCAGTATTTTGCCCAAGGATACTTTGGCAAGCAGTCTGGAGCAGCCAGGGATCAAAGCATGAACCTTACCAGTAGTAGATTAGTTCCATCGCCTGAGCTACAGCCAACCCTAACCCACCCACACAAGGAAATTAAGAAACATAGTTTTAAATAGCTCTATATCGCATTATGACTTTTCACCTTCATATCAATCTATTGTGAGGTCAGAGGTCAAATGTGTCACGATATTTAAAACTTCAATCACAGTTTCTATGTTATAAGGCTTTTTGTCACTTTTTGATTAACAAATAATCAAGTTGACCTTGAACAGATGTTTAACATGAAACTGCTCTACACCCCTAAAAAGTTCAGTCAGAATTCATCCAAAACCTTTCGAGATGTCGCGTTTACAGACAGAATGACAAAATGACACGCACACACACACACACACACACACACACACATAAACGCTACCAGAAACATAACCTTCTTGGCAGAGGTAAGAAATGAGTTCAGTTTTTACCCTCGAGTTAGCTGGTAGTCCCAGTGTGATGGTGGGCAGGGTGGAGGGACTCTGGATGGTGAAGTTAGCTAGAGTACCATCTCTGAGCAGCAGTTTCTGGGCCTGAGAATACCAAACATAAACATGATGTAAAATTGAAATCCAACTGAAACTGTGCTGATGAAAATAAACGTTCCTAATCTACACCATATGTGAAAAAAACAAACTGATTTTCATATTTTAAACCAAAGCTGGTATACTGTCTAACATTTTCTACTGTTAATAATAACTGAAAATGTTATTATTTAGAATAATTTCAGTCTGTTTTGAGCTACTCTACACCAGCATGGTCTAATGAAACCTAAGCTAATGTTTTGTCTCTAGCTGCCTCTACACTGGGAAATCATGAGTCAGACATTCGCAGCAGGTGTGACAGAGGTTGCTTTGTTTTGACTTTGATGATTAAATGAATTATGTATAAACAGCTGACAAACAGTGTTCCCATACTCTTATGGATTTAAACATATCATTACCCAGCATCTCAGCAGCAGCCAATGCATGGAAAACAACTTTTTAACCCTGCTCAAAATGCCTGTTTTACTATTTTACTAAAACAAGTGTGAAAATAACTTAATATCATTACGTCAACTTAGATAGAGTTAATACAGTAAAACTGAGAGGACTCAACAGCACTGTGTGTGTGTGTTTCTTGTCAAACCTCATGTGAGAGGCCGCCTGCAGATGGCAGCAGTCCATTCTCATTAGGCAGACTGTCGTTAGGAGAGCTACAGCCAGAGACTGGAGTGCTGCTGCTGCTCGGGGACGAGTCTGCAGACAGACAGACAGAAGGTGAGTTTGATATTTGACTATGAAGCTCGATTGTGTTTCAATCACATCACAGCAGATCAATCAAACGATCATGTACAAAACAAACAAACAAGGCAAAAAACCAAAAATGAACAAATGAAAAACGTTGCTCGCATCGGTAATAATTGAGAACAGCTTACGGCTACAATAATGCAGCGCTCTTATGTATTGCGGCATTTGTGTGTCTGTAAGGTTACCCAGTGTATCAGGAACTCTGTGCTTGACAGTGGGTGGGGCACTGTCTTTGCGGGTGAGCGGACTCTTGCGGGTATTCAGGTGTTTCTTCAGCTTGTTTTTCACCTTCAGATTAGGCTCCGACGCTAGTGAATAAGAGATGAACAAAGGAATATTACTTCATGCTGTTTGCTGACTGTAAAAGCTGAAAATGAATCAATTTCCATGTAATGAAATCCCAAATGTTCACAATGTGTCATAACAGGAAAATGTTAGTGTTACCAAATACTTAATACACAGGAACTCTTACTCTCTGGACTGAGTAAAGATTATTCAGTAGTTTTTGATAGAAAGGTTGGAGACAACCTTTCAAAATAAACATATACATACATACATATATATATATATATATATATTTTATTTTTATTTTTTTAAACAGATTTTGATTCCTCCGGTTTTGGCATGAAGTCAGGAGCAGTGCAATATTTCTTCCCTTCTGAAAGAACTAACTGAAGTAAATATTTCACTTTGCTATTTGAATGATAAATGATAAATGACCAGGCTGTCTTCGGGTCTTTCACGTCATAACTCACTTTCACTTCCCTATAGTGTCAATTCATAGCTTCCACCATGATATGTATTCGTCAGATTTCTCCTTAATAGGATTTTGCGTCAAATGTTTCACCTGCTCTGCGCAGCGGCGTGCCCTCTGGACCCTCATGAGGGGGCTGCGTTGAAGAGGAAACAAGAGTGGGTATGCTAGGGTCAGGGCCCAGCTTTCTGCAAAAAACACAACATAACAATTACACATCAAACCATTCATGTAAACAGTGACGCAACACCTGGTACAGCTTTACTTCAAATTCACGATATAAAGTGCATTTAAAGAATAACACTATTATTATGATGTGACTGTGTTGTACACTTAGTGTTTTGTGTTCTGCTTGTTCACACATGCTGCGTTACCTGTATTGGACAGGAGGTGCAGTCAGAGAGTTAGCGTTTGTTCTTTCCAGCTCAGCCTTTTTCTGCTTCTTAAGAATCACCTCCTGGAGTTTCTGTTTCACTAAGGAACTTGCCACCGCGCCTGTCAATCAGCCACAGCAACCAATCAAATCCACAGAAACATTTACCAGCTGTATCAGCATGAAGGGAGGAGCAAGCCCTGCCTAAAGCACAGTGTTCACAGCTAGACATTATTTGCATAGTTGTGCAGGAAATAAATACATAAATAAAACGCAAATACTATACATGCATGTATGCTTCCGAGTGTCGATGCATTTGTGTGCAATGCACTGTGAAGTCACCGGTTAGGCCTGAGACTATGTTTGCTTCCATTCTTGTGTGTAAGTGTGCACACCGAGGTGGCAGCTGGTGCTACGAGTGATCAAGTCAATATTGACCCAGGGACTTTATGTGCCTGGATGCAAAACTATATTTATCTCCACTTTTTCAGGTTATATTTAGATCTCACTTCAAAGAAAGCAGCTTTGCAATTGAAGAAACACTGTGTAGCAAAGATGAAGATGATCTCTTGCAGGGACTTTCCTCTCTGGCCATGATTAGTACTCTGGGCCATAATGATTCTTAAATTTGTGGAAATGGTTTTATGAAAAGTGAAAAAAAAAATTAGCTGGAGTCTTGTAGAGACCTGTAGAGTAGCAAAGTTAGAGTTTAATTTCCAATTTTGTGTGTGGGTGTGTGTGTGTGTGTGAACTCACTCTGTTGACTCTTGTCTTTGTGCTTTAGCTGCTGCAACTCTTGTTGTTTCTCGTGATGTTCGTGCTCTCGCCTCCTTTGTTCCATATTAAACTACCCCACCAAACACATACACAGATTAGCAACATTTATAAAGCAAAAAGTCAGGTAAGACTGCAGTGTAATAAAATATATTGTACAAAAGTTTTCCCAAGAAGTCTTTTATGGTTTTACTCAGTTTTTTCCCCCCTTACCCGGATTTGCTGGTGAAGCTGTTGTTGGGAGAAGGAGCTGCGAGGTTGTGGGGAGAATGGTGAAAGGTGTAAAGGCGGGTGCAGCGGGGTGAGGAGCACCGTGTCCGAACCAGGGCGCATCCCCCGCTCTCCCACCCTGAGATCCATGGGAAACAGCAAGGATGTGCGCGACACTGCCACTGAGGAATCTGGGAAAAGGCAAGGATAAAGTGAAGAGAGAGAGACAGTTTGCCCAAACCTCAATGAGGAACAGTTGATGCTCTGTGGGAAGTGCTGAAAAAACAAACATTTAGGATTTCAAGGAGCACATGGGAGTCGCTATGAAGCAGGCTTTATATAAATTGCTTTACAATAAAAACGGAAAAGCACAAAATTATTTGGGCCTTCTAGATCTGTGCTTGAAATAGCTTTCAGGAACCTTGGGACAAATTACAACAGGATTTGAAACTACAGCAGTGAAAGCATGAAAGGCTCTTCAGCAACTACCTAAGCTGATGCCCAATGCAGTACACCAAGACCCAAAGTGAAGGAATAATAAGAAACTGACACAGGAATCAAGAAAGTTGGGTTTATGTAAACACAACAAGTAGAAACAGCATTCCTGAAGCATTTATGGCATCTGTGTAGGTCTTTCATTACCAACACTCACTCACACACACACACACACACACACACACACACACACGCACGCACACGCACGCGCACACGCACGCCTTTTGCTGTTGGGATTATCTGCATCGCACAGCTGAGTCAATGGGAAAGATTGCCTCACCCAGTGCTAAAAACAAGATCCAGGGAGGGAACAGCTTGGGAACAGCTTGGGGGTGGGGGGTTTCCGTCCATGAGGCACACACAGACACAAATGTCTACACATGACTAAAAATAAATAAATTAATAAAATAATATACAGTGGCTCAAACCAAAAAAGAGACAGAGCTGTAAGCACATATAGGTATTCAAATATATCTCACCACACATGTGGATAATGCTGCAGCAGGTGACACACATTCACCTGCATATGTCGGTTTATTTATTCACACATTTAAATAACCACCCACGCATGAACACGCTTTCCGAAAGCAAGCAGGCACACGTACGGTAAAAAACATTTACACACAATCACGAGCTGCACACAAAATAGGCTTGAGTAAATACCGATTGCACAAACCTGCCTAATGCTTAAACTTGCATGTGTGCACAAACACGCGCACGCGTGCACGCACACACACAGCACAATGAAATAACTTCATATGACATCATCTTGGGTGCCGCTCAGATGTCGGGCTGCAGAGTGTGAAGTAAATGTCACTCACAGCGTGGCCTGGCCTGATGCCAATAGCAGCACTTGACTGGATATGGGTAAAAGGGAAATGAATAGACGCCACAGTCTCAGGGGAATTTGTAAAGTAATCCCCAAAATTAATCTTATTTGTATTCGTGCAAACAAAACGATCTGCTTCCAGTCTGAAAAACAAGACCACCTTACGAGCCAGGAGCCGGTGGTGGTCGGGTAAGTCAAACAGCTTTCACCAAGGAGACTGCAGCTCGAATCCCACACTATCATAAAAATAAATATTTTTACACTTAAGCTGCCTTTTCTCTCACTGTTTGGTTAGGTTTGAGAAAAGATTGTGGTTTAGGTTAAAAGAAGTCCTTTACCGCATGTCTGACAGCTACCTCAGTCACGAGTCCTAACAGAGGAGTTTAAAGAAAGAAAAAAAAATACTCAATGTAGTCAGAAAACACACTTTCAGTTTCAAAATCTTGCTGCCCTTCATGAAATACAGGACCATTCATGTTTATGTGCACCACATAACGTCAAGCAAACTGCCTGAGGGGCAGAAACTCACCTTTAAAAGCAGCCAATCCAGCCCCTTTAGTTGGCCTTGGAAAATGTAAAAGATTTAAATAAAGGAGGGAAGATTTTTCTTTTTCTTGTTTTTTTTGTCTGAACTTTTAATTCCGTCCGAGCCAGAAGTCTAAAGTTTTACAACAAAACTATCTGGTTAAGCCAAGAAGCTGTGCTGATGCTTTTTTAAAGTTTATTACAGTGACCGCAGAATGACTGAAGATGGAAATTTAAAGCACCATGTTGACATTGTGCATCTCACGCTGATCATCATTCGCTTTGTAAATGGATGATTTATTCATTGTGAATAATTACATAATGTGCATGGACTTCTTCAGAAGGTGACTATTTTTACAATCTGCGACAAGGCTGGGCATGAACACAACAGTACAGAAGACAGATGATGTCAGTAGTGCTGTGTCTCCTAGAACAAACATTAAACCTCACCTACTGTATTAGATCGTCAGTACTCTTCCTCCATATTAGGCTACAAATGCAGAAAGACATCCCGAATGCCGGCCGTGGCTGGAATAATAGAAATCCCTTGGCAAACACACACATTCACAAAGACACAGGCGGCTATGCACACATATTTTCTTTAATGACAACACAAAATAATAACGTCATTATTCTGAGGAAATGTAGAGGAGAACATGCTCGTGCAAGGAAACAAAGGCTGGCAAACAAAGGCAACACACACACACACACACACACACACACACACACACACACACACACACACACACACACACACACACACACACACTTTGGGAACACCAGTGTCTGTCACCCTGCTCTCCTGGGTTATAAATAGCAAATGGCACTCTATTCCAACATTTACCTACACAGACGTCTTTGTTTCTACAGGGAAACCACAATCTCTCTTCTAGAGTAACCCAGTGATGTCACCTGCAGCTTCTAGTTAGTTGTCAAAAAAAA